ACAACAGTTAAGAAACATATGATATTTAAAATATTTTCTTTTAATTTGTTAGTATTTCTGTTTTGAGGGATGCTAAAGATATGAATTTCTTAAAGCAGATCTTGTTTGTTACAATTCGTTTTACAGATAAGTACACACGCGCTATTGCACAAGGTGCATTAGTGTTTGTTAGTAATTATGAAAGGTACATCAACAGCAAGACGATTATAAATATGTACATGGTATTTGTATGTAAAATTCTTTTCGCAGGTCTAGGTTAAGACCTTCCTTGTTGAATTGTTTGGATCATTTATTTAAGGTTTGGGGCAAGAAAAAGAGAATTTATACAAACTAAGAACGCATACACATGGTAGTCACATCGATCAAGCAAGACATCGTTTACAAAAGACAGGTAATCATAAACCCAAGCTTACTCCCATCATTTGTCAGATTTAACATTGTTAATCTTATTTAAAACTTTGGAATAAATCTAAGAAAATTCTTTACCAGCAGTTCTTAATTGGTGTCTTTGGAAATACCGGGTAAACAGCTCGAATACGATCCGTATATCGACGGTCATCCGTTCACTGCATATGCCAGTCATTGTTGTTTACTAATTAATGTTACAGATTAATGTTGTGCAGAGGAAATTCCGTCAATAGTACTTACCATTCCGGGTCTTTAAGGCTAAACCTTTTCTGGTGGCCACTGCTTCCTTAGACTCTGGCAGCATCCAGAAATAATGGATGTTGACGATTGGGTACTTGCTATCTATTGAAACATAGACATTGCTGGTAAAATGGAACTTACTGTTGACATCCCCTCCTTGACATAGTTCCTCAACAAACTCTTAATTTCATCCAGTTGCTTAAAAAGGTGAAAAATTAACTGATGCATTATGTACGTATTTATAACCGCATTAGGCAATTTCCATTCCCTTATATCCACTCTAGTTTTCCCCAGAAATTGTCACGCCCAAAAGGAATCTTTGGAAGCTACTTTGCGCATGAGCGAATCCTTTGTTGAAATTACACTCGGTCTATTAAGGGATGCTTAACTTCTAAAACAACCATACTGTGCAGGTGCTAGGATGATTGGCTTAATAAACATCTTCTTGTCTAAAAAGCTACCTGTTTAACATGTGATTCATGAATAGAAGTTTATTAAATGCAGGTAAAATAATAATTATATATGTGCATGTGAGTGTATATTCTACGAGATTTTTTAAAACTGTATCTTTGGACCATCAGGATCATTCATGGAAATTTGTTTAGTATAAGGTCGGTTGATGTCATATAGTGCATCAATGTAATTCTTTGATTGTAAATTCCCATGGTCAGAGCTGTACCATCCGCGATGTCTTTCTTTTTGCCGATGTTTATACAACATGAAGAGACACCAAGGGTAGGAACCTGACCGAACCCTCAAATAGGCGTGTCCCTGGAACCATCCAAGTCATGAAAGCTCAATCATCTGATATCCCCGATGTTGTGTGTTTCTTTGCACAGTGGGAATTCGACTGGGGTGTTGAAAGAATTTTTCTACATATTGACATCGCAACTAGCAGAGAGGAATAGTTAGGTGATGTTTGGACGCGTTCGGAAGAATGACGTACCAGCGATGCCCCTGTCCTTTTTGCATAGGTAGCAGGTTAGCCGGAGTTTGTAATAAAAATTATGCAAAAAATGATTAGAAACTTTGCTCTCATATATAGAGAAAAGGCGTGACATTGATTGCTTTCATAGAGAAAAAGGAAGAATTAGCCAAACTAAACGAGACTGCGATTTTAGACACCGAGGAGTCTGTAGACAATTTCATTTTGGAGAGCGCAGTCAACAACCTCCCATCGGAAAATGACAACGAATCTGACCTTAACGATTTTAAGCTATCTTTACCCAACCCAGAACAGTCCAGTGATGAAACATTGAAAGATTCAGCCAGCGAGGATGACTATCCCAGGACTTATAGTTCCAGTAGTGAATAAACGGATGAATTACTCAGTCAGGATGTTATTTGTCTTGATTGGACTGTCCATATGAGTGAAAAATTCTCGAGAGCGTCATTAAACAAACAAATAAGACTCTTTCATAAAGTCCTTCATAATTTTTTTTTTCATTTAAAAACTGTATATAAAGAGCTTCAAAGACCAATGTGAGAGGTAATAATACAGGGTTAAAAATAGCTAATCATCTTAATTCTAAATGTTTCATGGTAATAATGATAAATGGGGAGGGGCAGGTAGATACTAGACCAATCATTTTGTTGATCTTAATCATACTATTTTTCTTGCCTTTGGGCAAAAAGGCTTCATTTATCAGTTTATGGATCCTTTAAATTGTTATAATCAGGTGACTGTTAGTGCCCTTATGCCTCTTGTTTTTATTTGCAATTCATTTGATTTTTTTTCCTTTTTAATGTAAGTAAAACGCAAAAGACAAGAATGAAAATGTTTATCTTCATCAGAGTCGTTTGTAAAAACTCTGGCCACAGATATGTCGTTCTCGAAGTCTAAGAAGAGAGAAATTTATGTGCTTTTTCCATGTTCTAGTTAAACAGTATTTAGTTTAAGTTTTGTTTAATTTATATACTCAGTATTAGATGACCTTTATCTGTATATGACCAGTCTACTTTAAGTTCGTTGCTTCCAAGTAAAGAACTTTCTAGTTCTAGTAGTGAGATGGAAGAATCACCCAGCCAGGATATTATTTGCCTTGAAAAGGCTGACCACATGGGTGATAATTTCTCGAGAGAGAGAGGTCCAACAAATTACAAAGAATGTTTAATAAAACCATCCCTAATTCTTTTTTTTTTAACTGTATATAAAAAGATGTAAGATAAGAGCTGATTGTCATCAATTTAAATTGTTTATTACAAGCAGTATTGTTACTTCTAGCATTATTTTTACAGTAATAAATATATGAATTATATAGCTGTAGGGTATATGGTAACCATGCTCTTTAGATTCATTTATACTCTTTATACCATTAGTATACCCGGGTGGATGTTACCTGTGATTATGTATAGATGTTATATACTACCTCTGGACACTGCTGTGCTCTTTCTAAAATCGATAACCTTTGTTAAATGATTCCTCAAAACTTATAGACGTGGCATCGTTTTCTTATATATTCGTTTTTGTTATATATGTCCATACCAGAAACCGGGCGTTTAATCGTTTTCTGATATATTCTTATTAATAACTGTTTTCTTATACATGTATATCCTTATCAGAAACCGAGTGTATAATCGTTTTCTTATATATTCTTACCAAAAAATGGCAGTCAGTTCACATATAACTTTAGTGTTTTATTACTTTATAAATAGGTAAAGACAATTGACAGTATCGGGTAAAATTCATTAATGACCCTTCAATGAATGAAATATCATAAATGTTGTTCTAGACCCGATGTTTCCTTTAAGAGAGGATCATCATACTTTACGCATTATCATTAAAACAATGAAAATACATTACAATATATATATTATTAAATAAATCGTATTAACTTATAATGTACTTGTAAAACACATCATCGTGTTCCAGAACAAGTGATCAATATTTTCCGTTTTCCCACGATCTCATAGATGTCTAAATTCATTCAAAGAAAAAACTGTATCCCGCAAGGTACCAATTCATTAACGCTATTTCTTAATCTCTACTTCATATGTGAAACCTCTACTGAAAACAATTTATAACGAAGTTCATGAATACCCTAGCTCTGGACACTACTGTGTTCCTACCAAAATCGATAACCTTTGTTAATTGATTCCTCAAAACTTATAGACGTGACATCGTTTTTTTTTTTATGTATATTCTTACCAAGCCGGGTGCATAGTCGTTTTCTTATATATCCATACCAGAAACCGGGCTTACAATCGTTTTCTTATATATTCTTACTAACAACTTTTTTCTTATATATTCTTAACAGAAACCGGGTGTATAGCTGTTTTCTTATATATATTCTTACTAACAATCGTTTTCTAATATATCCTTACCAAAAACAGGGCATGTAATCGTTTTCTTATATATTCTTACCAAAACCGGGTGTATAGCTATTTTCTTATATATTCTTACTAACAATCGTTTTCTTATATATCCTTACCAAAACCAGGCGTATAGCTGTTGTCTTATATATTCTTCTAACAATCGATTTCTTAAAGACGTATTCAGGCGTAAAAAAACAGGGCGTATAATCGTTTTCTTCTATATTCTTACCAAAACCGGGCGTATAGCTGTTTTCTTATATATTCTTACTAACAATCGATTTCTTATATATCCTTACCAAAACCAAGCGTGTAGCTGTTTTCTAATATTGATTTCTTTAAGAAGTGTTCAGGCGTGAAAAACTGGGCGTATAGCCAAAACCGGGCGTATAAACCGGGCGCGAAATGCGACGCTAATTACTACTTTTTGTGCCCTAAAAATTTAATTTTCTTAAAAAGTTATGAAATTGGCATTAACAATAGTTGAGTATATGAATATGATAAATCATTAAAAAATATGCCACAAAGAAGAGCCTTTCTTGAAATATGACGTCATTAATTTGGTACATTTTTAAGTTTAATGCAGAAAAGCTTCAAAATGACTCGCTTTTCTGCTAATTTTCCTTTAGAAAATAGTGTCTGCCACCGTCGCCCGCTTTAATTTTTGGATATATTGTGCAAAAAGCTATGAAAAATCACATATCTCAAAATCTTTCCGGGCGACGGTGGCAGAGTATGTTTTCTAAAAGAAAATTCCACTGAAAATTGATGTCTTCTGCAACTTTTTAAGAAAATACGGGAAAATGCACAAGTTAATGACGTCACAATTAGCATTTAGGAGGTCATACGAGAAAAACCATTTGTGTATTCTAACTGCAAAGAATTCCTATGTTTCAGAAAGAATGAATTTTAATTTCTTGTATCACTTTCATATTTTAGAAAAATATAGGGCTTTATTTGTATTGAAACTGTACCTTCTTTGTGGACGGAAGAATAACAGACGGACAGACAGAGTGATTACTATAGGGCACCCGCAAAATTATCATTTGAACATGCTAATTAAGATTTAAAGATGAATCTTTTTCATTCAATAGTGTGCAACATGGAGCGTACAATTCTTGTTTATTCCATTTCAACGTACAGTGTAATTTTTCTTTTCATAGTAAAAATTTCGTTTCAATTGATTTTCCATCCACTGAATGACGTGCGGTGTTCAACGGGATTGCTTGTAATTCTGCCTTTATTAGAATTAGTCGGATGTGTTCGAATAAATACTGTGTCTCCTTCGTTGATCTCTACCACAATAAGGCCATTGGAAGTTTGGGTGTAAGTTGAATCATATGCGTCAGTAAACGAAGCGCCTACTAAATTGGAATTTATAGCAATCTGACTAAAGATATAACCGTGGGGATCACAATAGACTGTCCAGGCAAATACGTAGATACCAGTGTGTGGAGCAGTAAATATTCCTGAATGTTTATTGTTCCCGTGACCAACATTTGTCAGTACAGAGTCAAAAATGAAAGTATGATGTGGACTTGGCTCGGGCTCATGATCGGACATATATGCACTGAAAGCAACAGATCCAGAGTCAGCTGTAAAATACAAATACAAAATCAAATATAAAATTTTATAAGAAACTATTGGTATCTGTATTTGAGATGCATGAAGGATATGGAGAATTGGAGATAAGGAATAGTATTCAATATCCAAGTCCATAAAACAATACAAAATAGGATTACAACAAACACGGACCTCCAAAATATCATAGATGGGATCAGGTACCATAAAGGAGTGAGAATCCCTTAATTGCTGACCAGTTTTATGTATTTAAATCCGTTTTGATCCTATCCGTTTTTATCAGGTTGTTAATGTTAAAACTTAAATGTGATCTCTTGGACAGAATAAAAAGACATGCAGCACGACTTGGATGTTGTGGTGTATCATAGTTAGTGTCTGACAAGATAGAAACATTACACTAGAGAGGAGTCAGTATCCCCTGCTGACCGGTCATATGAAACACAAGCTTTTTGGGTACGAATAATGAATACTTTATTTATAATAGCTAATTGTTATTCACTGCAGACTATATTATTGCTATCTGAAGTGTTATTTTTTACATTAATTAATTACTACAAGTGGTTAGATCGTATAACTTTGCTCACGGCGGGTGTGACCATTGATAGGGGATGCCCTCCTCCTGGACACGTCATCAGAACTCTTGAATCCCCACTGTCCGTGTTTATATCCTCTCCACAGATTTGTATTGTGTACAGAATGTTCTATCATTGTTCGTTATTTTCACTCTTTTTAAATACATACACTGTATTTAATACGTACTGTTGAGTTTTTTAAAAATCTGTTACTAAAATTAAACGTTTGGCATTAATAGTGTATAGCATACCACGTTTGATTGGACTTGTAGATTTTAAATCCTCTTTTCCATCATTGTCATCAGCCGAAGAGGAAATTAAACCAAGAGTTAGAGGCAATTCATGGTTAGTTCTGTTTCTCATTATATCGTTCTTCTCATGCACCCGTTCATTATTGAAACTTCCAGCGTCTTGCACTTTTTGATCTGCTTCGTTTTCAAGTCTATAAATTCGCAATTCCTGTTTTTTTTGCACGGTTTTCTAATTTCAAGATTTTCTTCTCCATATTTGTTTGAGTTTTTAAATACGTTTGAGTAAGTCTTTGGCAATTCAATTCACGTTCATTCAGTCTAACTGTTAGTCTTTGGATTTCTTCTTCCATCCATTGAATTTTTTTTTCATCAAGGCAATGTCCACAACAAAAAGTCAAACCGATTATTAATAAAACAGAAACACGGACATCCATTAGAATTGTATTCAAAACAAGCCGAAAGCGAACGTCTTGAAGGAAAAACTTAAAACAGATAACAGATCAGTAATGTGTTGGACTTTTATTGCAGGGATATCTTGATGAAGATAACCTTTCTCAAATTACAGCATGCAAGAAACCTAGATGTCATGGCTGTGCACCTACGCAACTTCTATCGTCTATTGTTCAGCATACTTTTATTTTAAAATACCTAATTTGCTTCTATTACGCGTACGGTTAGAATTTTTCAGCATATGCTTTCACGAACATTTTGCTATTTCATGCATAATCTAGCTAGTGATAATTAAAATGTTTAGAAGAGCACCAGTAGCAGAGTAGTCAGGCGGCATAGGCAATCTATTGTGCATTTTGTGATAAAAGCACCAATTTTTGAACAAATATAGACATTTATTGTCTGAACAAAACTGGATATTGGGCCATCGCGGAATCATGTCATGGCAGACATGACGGCCATTTTACAAAATGGCGGCCATAATTTTTCGTTATATTTGAAATTTACTTAAATCTCTCTCAATATAAGTGATAATCATGGTATACAGAGAACAAAAACACTCTCTTTGTCTTCAAAAAGAAAAAGAAAAAGATTTAAATGAATTGAAATGGTTATAAAATTTCTTTAAAACAAACAAATCCCCTTTTACCTCATTATTTAACATAAAAAGAACATATGCTATCTCTTTTTGATGTGCATACTCTCTATGATTTAAATATGTTTATTTGTGAGCATTATGTCCTTTTGAGAATTTTTTCATTCGTACTATGATGTCATCAGGTGCTGCTGGGTGTGTGGTGTGAGGGGTGTGTGTGCAAAATTATACCTATACTCTGTACAATCTATTCATAAGTGTTGGATCTTTTTCACAACAGCGCCTTCTTCGACACAAAACTTATATCTATTTTGTCTTATCGTGTGCCGGGTTGGAACTAGCATTGTCATTAATTCCTTAATTCACAACTTTAGACTTTGAAACACTCGATCTAACCACGCGACACGTGACTTACCCTATGGTTAGTTTTAAATGCATGTACTACTAAGTAATGAAACAGTTAAAAAGGCAACATGTTTATATATGTAAGATATATATCAGGTCCTGGTGACCACAATAAAAGCTTTGGCAAAGAAGATGGGCGAACAAGGCGGGCAGAATGCCTATAGCGTCAGATATTAAGAAATCATATCAAATATGTGAATTTATTATTTAAATTAACGTCTAATTATTGAAAGTTTTGAAATTATGAGAAAAAAAAATTTCTGAGAGAAAAAAAATATCGTTAAAAAATTCCTTTCATAAAATAATTAGCTGGTATTCGTGGGATTCGAACCCCAGCAATAAAAATCCGACGTTTCAATAGCATACTGCTTTGAGACTAACGCGTTAACCACTATGCTGCACCGCTCATGGTGATATTGGGCATTTAAATGATGTTTGTGATATGACCCGCGACTTAATGGACTTGAAGTATTTCTCGGAAAGATGGTAATGTTGTGTCATAAAAGCGTACTTTTAAGGTATAGTGGGTCTTCGCTCCATGTTTTTGAAAACCAAAAAAATAGTATTTTATTGCACACTTTTAGAACCATCTTTCAAAAAAATGGAGAGAAGACCCATCCATATTGAAAAATTTTGTTTAAGTATGAGAAAATGATCGTTTTTGTTCTTTTTAGTGTGTGTAAGCTTTTTCAAAGGCAAATATTTTTAGTCTTTGTGAGATTTTTTTAAATTGTAGAGATTTTAAATAAAGTATACTTTAATATTAGAAGAAATATCAAGTAAAATATGGATTCAATTGAGATTAAAATTTTCACTTCTTATCTGTCGCACTATAGGCATTCTGCCCGCCTTATTCGCCCATCTTCTTTTTGTCTTGACTCTCCGTAATCACTAAGCTCCTTCACATCCACATATGCTAGTGCACTTGAGATCTGAAAGTTTGCAACACCACTTTTTTGAATTACATCCTTTATTTTTCAAGTCACAGTTGCAACTTATTAGTTCACAACAGACTTTCGAGGCTTCCGGCAGTGTTGTCCATTGTTGCTCATACAGACCATCTGTCATAATCCAACCCCACTTGATAGGAGAGGGTAGTAATGAATTTAGTTGCAGTACCTGTCCCCATACATGTCCACCCTGGTAAGTTGCTCGTTTTACATGCTCTAGGACAGCCTTTGTTGGTGGACTTTGTTTCACATCTGGTTTCCTTGCGAAGATCTTTTGCCGAGCTTGGTTTATGTCAAAGCATGTACTGGTCCTGTCATAGAGAAGGATGACAAATCTTCAATGGTTTGCATAACATCGCTTGGTATATTAGTTGGTGGACAAACTAATTTAACAAGCGCGTCAGTGAGCTAAGGTAGGGCCTTCCAAGTTTTCTGTGCAGTTTTTTTTCGCCATGCCCACCAAGGCTGGAAACAGTGTCACATCCAGTCAGCGTATGAAACATTGGAAGTGTAAAAGCTTTTCTGTGTCCAAGGCCACGTCCAATTATATGGGCTGCCACGTGACGGAAATTTTTTCCAGTTCCAAAGGCTATCCATAGTTCCGTCTCTGGGTTCAAAGTTTGCACCACGGACACAGCCAGGACCACAACATCAGTGTCAACGGTGCGGATCAGTATTCTATTATGGCCTTGGCGAGATGCATGTGCTGTGTGTAATAGCATTCGGCTATCTGCTTCCTCGTAATTACATGGAGAAATCGAAAGGATATCTTGTTTTTGGAGCTTTGAAAGAACATATTTACCATCGGTGATAACTATTTGGTTGACACCTTCATCAAAAGTCGTAATGAAAGATCTTGAGAGGAAGCTGTAATTAGTTACGTCTTGTTTCTATCTACTCGACAAAATCTTGCCTTGCTCTAGCGGTACCTTTTAATGAATTGTCTACATATTTGTCCCATACCAGGTCTACGCGCGAAGCTCTTAGAAACTGAGAAAATATATGGAATGAAGTTCTGACGAGCATAATTTTCTGAGGTCTTAGTAGTACCTGAACAACAACTGAACCATTCAGAATTACACAGCTTGTCAATGGAAGCTCAGACCGCTCCTCGTCAAATTCCTCCGAGCACTGAAGAAGGCCACTCTTGGTTCCAAGATGGATGTTACATGCATCAGAAAATGAGGGCGGGGATTGTGGATTTTCATGTCGAAAGAATTCTCTAAGGTTACCTTGTCTGTTTTGACAAAAAAGAGAGTCACATCACATTTGAGCTAAGTTAAATCCTCTGTCTTTTCACTGAAATTTGAACTGCTTGTATTTTTTAATAAGCTTACTCTACTACGATGAATGATATCATTGATTAGCCTTCACCTGTAAATGAGACATTCTTTGCAAAACTGTTTAAATTTATCAATTCCAACTCTCATTACACATATTACAGCTCTTACTGCAGATTGGTCTGAAAGTTCCTTTGTATCTAGAACTAGAAGATCTTTACATAATTCATCGAAAGGATTTCCAAGGCATTGAGCAGACAAACAAGAGAGTGAAAATCTTTTGCAAACGAAGCCTGCATACTAGGTGTTTGATCATGGAGACGGGTATCTTTTGACCCTCTCTTGTCCGATTGTTCATCTTGAAGCTCCTGTATCAATCTTGCAATCTCTGGTCCAGATAAGTAAGAACTATTGCTCCTCCGTCGTCCTTGATATAGGCGTTGTTTTGTTCATGTGCTTGATTGATTGGAATAGCAGAGAAGACTCGTTTGGTGTTTTGCACTGTGAAATTTTCATCATCAAATTCCTGATTTATTTCAGGGTGTTTTTTAGGGAGTTCCGCCATGTCCCTGAGATGTACAGGAATCCATCTTGCATAATTTGTGTGATATAAGGCATATGGAACAACGTTGCAAGCTCTGTAAGAACTTCCAGATAAATCGGAAGTCAAAGAGATTGGCAAAAGTCAAAACAAACAACTCAAGTTCCATAACAATTATATACCAGTATTCAATATACTAATAACTATAGTTTTTTAAGCGTTACATGTTAAACACAATTTTGCGATGATAGTATTTTATGTTTACTTTCATTCAGTTTGCATGGCCGTCCTCTGACTGAAGTAGAGGTACTTTGAGCAATGAGCTCACTAAATGATACCCCCCGCCTCCCAAATGATTACAATGGAAAAGTTCATGTTATGCTGTGGCGGGGAAGCCCAAAATATGTGTCGGATCAAAAAGTAAAATAACAGCTGCACAATGGCAATATGTAATAAAGGTTCTGTGAAAATGTCATTAAGTTTCACTTTTAGTGGTAAAAGAGGAGTTGCAGATAAGAGATGGGTATCCCAAAGCGTAACAGACAGACGGACGTACAGACGAACGGACGGACAGACCGATTTCAAAATACCCTTTCACTTTTCAAGCGGTGGTATAATAAGTATTGTGAATGATAGTTAAATTTTACTAAAAATAGTAACAACAGTTACATAACTATAAGTTACTATAAATAGTAACAACAGTTACAAGTGAACTCTGCAAGTTAAACAATAAGGTAGTCAATTTTAAGTAATAGTAAGATCATATGAAGAGAAATCTTCGTCATGAAGAATGGGCGCAGCGAAGCTTTCTCTTCATATGATCTTACTGACTTAGAACAGAACCTCAGCCAATCAAATGAATGGATTAAAAACAAACTCCTCCCACGGCTGTGTCATATATATAATGCTCAAGTTGACCGCTCGTTGTACATATCGAGCACGCAATCACTATCGAACACACGCGGTTTCAGAATGGACTCTAACCCATTCAGGTTTGCATGGGATTATATAAAATAGTTTGATTCAGGCACGTAGCAATAGGGGGGGGGGGGGGCTTTTTCCCTGACATTACTTTTACTATGGAAAATGTTTATTGAATGTTCATTGAAAGACTGACCCCCACCCCCATTTTTTACTACAGTACATGAATAAGAAGGTAATGTAGTTTTGTATGGGGGGAAATGGACCTGGAAGAAATTGGTATTGAAAAAAGTTCAAAAACGATGCTACATGTACGTAAATGATTTACTGGGAAAATGGTATGGGGAAGATATTTAAGTTCTACTTAACTAATGAATATCCTTGTAACAAGAATCTATATCTTTGAGAAATGATTGTGTCAAAGATGACAAGGCCTTGTCAGGAGGAGTGGGTATCGCTGTTCAGGGTCAAATAAAAATTTGATGAAAATTGTGACTT